TGGTGTGCACATAAGTGGCATGAGTTGGCTAGGCTAGACTTCGTTATGCTGCTTGCTTGCTTGTGTATTTTTAATGATGCCAAAATGGGGAAGAGTTGAGTAGAGAGGAGCAAAATTGAAGGGACTGATTCAGGAGAAAGCACAAATTCAGAGGGAACTTATGTCGTTCCTGTTACTCTATCTGGTTTTTGTTGTTCTAAATATGATTGTCAATTTTAAAGTTTGTCATCATAAAAAAAGGGGAAATTGATGTGTTTTACAGTACCTTAGCTTTATGTTTTGATGATCTAACAAACTTACTGTCAAAGAACCAGATAAAGAACCTGATACACTTGGTACACAACTCAAATCAACGGACTTAAGCTAATGTGACTTGTTATGACTTCAGAAGATAAAGAATCAACATATAGACCTCATCCTCTTAGGTTCCCCTGACAACAGTACGAAGTCAACTATCTACAGTTGGAAAGTGAACTACCTACACTGTACACGCAAATAGTTCAGCACAGTACAACAGTCACTTCTCATTGACCAACCAATTGATTACATCATTCAAGTGATGTCATTCAAGTTGTATTAACAAAGAGCATTACAACAAAACATCACTTGAACACTTGAGAATTCATTCAAGCACTCCAACCGTCTATCGATCAAGCATTCAATTCTCAAGTGTATTAAGAACAAAGTACAACACTACTACGGACCAGTTCCTACAAAAAGTATCTTGTATGTCCTTGTTGAGTTGTAACTTTGTAATTGTTCTTCATTGTAATTCCTACTTGGCTTATCTAGAAGCTTTAATTAGGAACCCCTTGAAAATCATAAACCTTTAGTATTTGTGTCGTGACTAGAGTTAGTCATGAGTTAAAGTCTTTGTAATAGGTGTATTGCAAAGTGGCTTGTAATATGTGTATTACAAGTTAGTGAGGGATTAAGAGTTTAATTCCTAGATTGCATAGGTTGTAATCTAAAAGATTGCTCAAAGTGAAGTTGAAATCCTACCAGTGTAGGTCGTGGTTTTTATCCCCTTGAACAGGGATTTTTCCACGTAAAAGTTCCTTCTTCCATTTACTTACTGTTTCATTAACTTCATCTGTGGAAACCTATATAGGACCTGCTCTCTATATAGTTTGGTGGTCTTATATATTCTATCACATAAATATTATGCTATATTTAATACCATAAGTTTTCAAAAAAATTATAGCCACGAAAATATTGTGGCATATTTAAGATCATAAATTTTAATTTTTTTGTTAGTCTTTGTGTCAACTGTCAAGTCAAATTATGACCACAAAAAAAAAAAAAAAAAAAAAAAAAAAAAAAAAAAAAAAAAAAAAGGGAGCAACATTTTATCTTTTTTCAGCAATTCTTAAGACACCAAAAAATTGTCGTTCAGCAGTACCCTTTTGAAATATTAAGGGCCCGTTTGGCCATGAATTTTTTTCACTTTTTTTTTTTGGAAATCAGTGTTTGGCCATAATATTTTCAATATTCACTTGAAGATGAATTTTAAAAATTTTCAAAAATTTAAAATTTTCAAAAAATTATTTTTCAAAACTCTTCCAATTACGCGCAAAAATTTAAAATCAACTCAAAATTATATTTTATTTTTTTCTCGAAAATTTTACAATTCTTATTTCCAAACGCCCACTAAGAAAGGGAGACTTTGATGGAGATATATGACTTGCTTAATCTAATGGGACAAGGTCACACAATCTTGGAAGTAAAGCTTTGCGATTTCATTGGCTGCTATTTTAATTTCCTTGAGTCAGAGAGTTAGCAAGTGTTCCAAGATTAGGTTTTGACCTTTCTTTATTCTTGGGTACCAGTCAACAATTCTGAGTCAGTCCTTTGACCAGAGAGATTTATTAATTTGTCTTTGTGACTCTTTGTACAATTCAAATATTACGACTCTCGAGAGTCGCATTCTTAAAAAATTAGAGTACTACTACCACTATTTTAAGGTTGTTTTATTTGATGATAAGTTGCGCTTAGTCCAAATTCGCATAAGATTCTCCTTAAATGAAACAAGATTAGAATTTGATAATGATGTTAATCTTCGAATGTTTTTTATTTATTTATCAGTATTTAAATAAAACAATTGTTAGATATATACGGTGGAGAGGTCAATATTTCGTAAAATAGTTATTTTAAGACTATCTTATGAGATCTCTGTGCAGCTTATATTACACGGATCGACTTTTTTATAATGAATAAAGTGAGAAAGCATGAGTACTACTGCGTGGACCAACGAGGAAAACTAAGAAAGTTTGCCGACCAAAATGGTGCTAATAATAACTAAACAATATATATTGGCACAAACACTTTAAAGGTTGAATAATTGTATTTTAAAAGTAATTTATTATACGAACTCAAGTTTTATAGCTGAAAAAAAATACTCCCTTCAATCCATTTTAATTGATTTTTCGATTGTTTTCACACATATTAAATAATCCATCTTTTAATATAAATGAACTATGAAATTGTTCGTAGTAACCTTTTCTATTTCTTTATTTTGTTCATTGAAAATATAACAGATACTTCGAGATCATTTCAAGGGCAACTTTGAAAAAACGAAGTTAATTCCGTCTTGAACTTGATATATAAAAAAACCAAATACTATAGACCACAAAAAAACTAAAAAATCAATTAAAGTGAATCTAAGGGAGTCTTTTATGGGGTGATATTCAGTCTTGTTCAATGATTTTTGCATGGAATCTAAAGATAGTAGAATATATTAGATTTTTCAAATTGAAGAATAGTTTGATTTTCCAAACATTAAATGAAGCATTATTAGATTCCGCAAAGAAAATTTTAATATCGTTAGTCCATCCAAGATGCCTAACAGCTCTTCCCCACGCGGGAAGAGATTGAAACATTAATTAAATTAAAAATATGCTTTAAACTTGAACCACAAGATGAACTATTGAAAAGAAGGATATATATATATACACACATATATATTGTGTATGCTGTTTATTTCTTTTATTTTTCTGCTTTATCTATTTATTTATTTATTTTGCAAAAGGGGAGGGTTTCTTTTTGGTGGTTCATTCCGATCGATGATCGCAGCTCAATATTTTAGACAAGGTCTAACTACATTTTATTCAATAAATAACGATACGATTTTCAATATTCTCTTTAATATCTTATAGAATCTTACTAACCTGCTATTCCTTCAATTTGTTTTCTTAGCCCTCATCTTTGATCTTGGAGAACATTCTCTTTCTATTTTCTTGCACAATTGAATCACAAACACTTCTGAACTCAAGTTTAGCAAATTTTGTTTAATCTCTCAATGTGTTACGTCGGTAGCCACTCTAAAAGGTTGCGTCCTGAATCTCAGTTTTTCAGTTCAAATATTTTTCGACAAAAATGTTCTAAATTGTCCTGAAGTCAAGATTTTTAGTTTAAAAACTCAGGATAAAATGAGTACTGGTTAATCTCTAAATAGCATCCCTGTGAATGGCTACCCGTCCACTCGCCCCCTCATAAGTTGCACTCGTATGTGTTCACCAAAATTTCTAACTTACTTCTATGTCTTAAGTTGCACAAATATATGCTTGAAGGTGTGAATGTTAAAGATGCTGGGGATGTTCAGGAATGTAAAGGAATAGTTGGAGTTGATATGGAAATGATAATGGACAGATGTCCAAACTGACACATAGCCTATATTCAAAGATGCAGAACTATTATGTAGAAAGAATTCGACTATGATTTTTGAAGGAAATTGTAACCCTTGAAGCTTAGTGGAAATGAAAAAATATACATGATTAAGCCACATTGAGACGGGAAACAAACATTACACGGGAAAATAACATTGCATAGCCGCTCTTAAAATAATAGCCGACAAAATGTATATTTTTTTGTATATATATGTATATATATATTCTGTATGTTATACACTTTTTCGGCTACCGAATGTAAATAGTTTCTAACGAGGGGCTAAAAGTGAAAAAAGCCCAAAATAAAAACAAGACAATTACATGTAAAAATTGCGTGGGGTAGCCACTTTTTAAAGTGGTATTTACTTTTTATTCTGAGCAAAAGTAGTCACTAGTCTATTAAAATTAATATGAAAAGATAGTGTTACCCTTTCTTATATCTCTTCTCTGTCCATGTTATACCAATGTAAAGAACGTACAGCGGTATTCCACAAAGTGTGACGACTGACGAATACGTTGACCACTCAAAATTTTTATATACAAATAAATAACATTTAAAATTGTTCGATAGTAAAGATTGGCAACTATAATAGCAAAAAAAAATAATAATAAATGTTTTAATCTTTTTAATAGAAGCATTATCAAGGACACTTGGTCCTTAACTTAGAATTACAAGCACAGAAATTAAGGACATGTAGTCCTTAACTTAGAGTTACAAGCACAGAAATTAAGGACAGGGTAGTCCATGTAGTCCTAAACTTAGAGTTACAAGTTCAAAAGTTAAGGACAGGTAGTCCTAAACTTAGAATTACAAGCACAGAAATTAAGGACAGGGTAGTCCATGTAGTCCTAAACTTAGAGTTACAAGTTCAAAAGTTAAGGACAGGTAGTCCTAAACTTAGAATTACAAGCTCATAAATTAAGGACAGCTAGTCCTGAACTTACAGTAACAAGCTCATAATTTAAGGACACTTGGTCCTGAACTTGGTCCTGAACTTGGAGTTTGAAGCTCAAATATTAAGGACACTTGGTCCTTAACTTAGAGTTACAAACACATAAATTAAGGACAAGTAGTCTTGAACTTCGAGTTCCAAGTTCAAAAGTTAAGGACATGTAGTCCTGAACTTAGAGTTACAAGTTCAAAAGTTAAAGACAGGTAGTCCTAAACTTAGACTTAAAAGCTCATAAATTAAGGACAGTCAGTCCTGAACTTACAGTAACAAGTTCATAAGTTAAGGACACTTGGTCCTGAATTTTATGAGCAAAAGGGTATTTTCGTCTGGGCGGTAAAAGTTTATTAAAGCAGTGGCTAAAGACTAAAGGCATTTTAAATAATGACTTAAAAGTAAATAAATGTCTTATTACTGGCTAAGTGTGCACTTCCCCCCGATTACACAGTGGAAATATAAAACAACCATCAGATTATTAGAAGAACAGAGGGGAGATCTGCATTTGGTGTAGTTCAACATGTACACTTGGTAGACAAAACAATCCTGGAAAGGTTCCCCTCACTACATTTTACAAACAGCCTTGAATTGGCATACTTCCAAAGCATGGAAAAGAAATAGATGGATGGAAAACAGATACAAAGAAGGAAATAAAGCCATGCACACCCTGAACTCTTCACATGGATCTCTCCGATGCCAGATCAAGCAACGTGTGAAAGAACTGCTGTGGATACAGGGGAGGTTGCTCTGCAAGTGCCTAAATACAATAAACACCTTAATAACAATGGTTAAAGCTTAGGGTATTCAGTTTTCAGCAGATTTAGGGGTTCCAGCATCTCTTCAGAAGTGAACTTGCATGTAATATTTGCATTGCTCACTAAGTTTAAATTTCTATAGAGTTCTTTCGTTTAAATAGAATAGACTTATGTTCCAAATTGCAAAATTATGTAATCGTTGAAGAAGCAGCAAATATGTCACCTGATGAATTAAGACAGTGGAAGGAGTCATTCCAGGAACTGTATTCACTTCTATAATCAACACCTGTAACCACAGAACAACTCCAATTAAATCTCATAACGGATCTGCAAATTGTTATCTGCATATCCCTTTCCTAATTACACCTTTAGTTTGATTCGCCGTAGAAAATGTTCAATCAATTGTATGAAATGTAAGTGTTGCAGTTCGCAGAAATCCATTTTTAGATTTTGATTCCTCAAGTTCTACTCAGGAACACTGAATTAATTGACAGAAAATATTGCCTCTAAAATGCTCAGTTTGGCCCCAATTCAACCTCAAACGAGCAAAGTGGGACAGAGTATTCGACCACTCAATATAAACTTATCGGCTGCAAAACAAATTGGTTCTAAGGCACATAGAAAAGAGACCTACAAACATGTTGAATACTTTGAAATGTTTAGTTTACTCCAGCTTTCTAAATCACATAACAAACTCTTCACCGTGGTTTTCTGTGCACTCATAGAATTAAACATACCAAGTATGTCACAATATCTCGAGAGGCACATAATGAACTGCAACTTGCTGGAAAAGAGACCATTCCTTAATGACATTATAAAGTATTTTTCAATCAATTCGAAGAATCTCCACAGTAACATACCTCACCAGTGTCAGCATGAACAAATGCATCAATACGTGAAAATCCTTCTAATTGTAGAGTGTTTGCAATAAGTTCAATATGCTTTTTACACCTTTCCAAGGCGGAACTACTGATTGAGAAGAAAAAAGCAAGATTGTGAGAAATATGTAGGTAATTTTAAGACCCAGAAAAGTTTATTTTGCAAAGAACAATTTCTGGCTTGGTAAAGAACTACTTTAAGGTAGAAATGAATAATCTTCGTGACCAACCTCATAATAGATGGTGGCGGTGGAGTCAGATTGATGCCAGTTCCACCTGCAGACACATGAATTTGATAGACAGAACCATGTAATGTCTTGTCATCATTGACAGGAAAGAATCCACAGTATCCCAAGAAAATGCTTATTAGTTAATGGTTTCAACTAAAATCACTAAGCTCTACTCAACGAACCTGTGACTAAGGAAAAAACGAAATAACTAGATGATAGGGACAAGACCATCTACCTGCTGTCTTTTCTTTTATCTTTTGCTACAAGTACAGAATTGTGGTTACATCTTGCAACAGGCATATCCAAATAACCGATAGAATGACTTACACTAGAAAATGTGATATCAATGAAGAGATACCTTGGAATTTCTCCTCCAGTGATAATATGCCTCCAGATTCTTTCACAGTTACACTAGGAGTCAATGAATGCATTGATCCACGTTTTCCTACAACACCAACAGTGACCTCTACCCATCTACTATCCCCTTTCCAGAGTAAATTGTGTGCAATCTCGTTTCTGGATTTAGATGCAACAACTATCTCATCAGTCTCAACAAAAGGTTCGAATATTACGAGCTCTGGAGGAGGGTTTGGCATCTCAATCATTCCATGTGCCTGTATAAGATACCAAGAAAAATATATTATACAATATAATCTTAGGGATCCTTAGAATCATATGATCCGGTGTTCAAAGCTAAAAGTATTACAGATTGGTAATTGCTGAGAAATAAATTACACTAAAAAGGCAAAAATAGAGCCAATCAAGCAATAAAGGTTCACATGAGAAGGATAACCAGTAGTGGGAGAAGTTCACAGAACAGCTGGAAAACTAAAAAGCTAGAAAATTGAAAAGCAGAAATATAGTGACAGAATTGACAGCTATAGCCAGACAGGACTAATTTCTTGATCTTTGATAAAAAGGTTTAGTTTGTAGTTCGAGTAACTTGATTAAGAGCCTTTTGTACTGTTTTGAGTCTCCTTGAAGACAGTAGTTTATGGAAAATTTAGAGCCATATATGTGTGTCAGGTCTAAAATCTCATTATACATTGAGCAACAGGATGTAACTGCTCAAAATTTATCTATGTTCTACTTTATGAGTTTACCGTCAAAAGTTGTAATTGTCATCCAATTTAATAAGCAAACAACTTGTAATATTCATCCAGCAAATACACCTAATTCCTCGTCTGAATCGTCAACACCATGATGACATGTTTTATTTCCAACAAGCCAAGCACATAATTTATGATCACAGCAGCAGATTGCTCGAATTACTTTACCTTATAAGGCGGTTCAGCTACAAATATGATATTTTTCCATTTTGTCTGAAATGGAAAACTGGCTACATGCTTACACAATACATGCTGAAATTAAATTTTTGTGGAGTCATGCAAGTATATATCCTTTTTTTTAACTTTGCAACTACAGGCCTATACTGACTATGCTTTGTGTTTACCTACCTCTACTAATCTCTTAAGCATGTTCTCATTTTATGATACTTACAGCTGCTGGTATTAATTATATCATGAAAGGACTACTTCCAGAAATGATTCAGGTTAAAGAGAAAGCAGCACATGACAAACCTGTTGTCTATCAGCTACAAAATAATGAAAGCAAGCACAGTCCTATCGAACACATTGTGAACTGAAGGACTCTGATTACAATGCTTTGGAGAAAATAAAATACTGCCGGTGACTTAGAGAAAAAGCTTTGTAGATGAGGAGCAATAACAGAGAAGTCCACATATACCTTTGATAGGCTGTTAGGAGGAATACGAGGTAGGCAATCCTGAAGTGCGTTTATGTAAAAGGCAAGGTCCCCCTCACAGCTGCATAAGGCAGAGTGTTAATATAGCAAGAAGCATTTTCTTAGATTTGCATACAGAATTGAAGAGGAACAAAAGACTACCACAATCTGGCCACACCAGTTGAGCAACCATCTCTGGCTGGTTTAACACATAAAGTGTCACAGTGAAGTTTTGACTTCAAGTCACGCCAGAGATCAGATATGGACATTTTCAGGAGATCATCCTTCTTCCTCGCATCTTTATTTATTGTAAGGACTCCAAAGTCTGTCAACTGTCCAGAGAAAGAGTTTTTATGTTTGTCAAGGGATAGACATTAATAGGTGTTCATGCAAAATCAGCTTGTGGACTACACTGGTACATGCAGATGAAGCCCATGTGGAAGAAGTTTCAAATTAAAGATGTCGAATTAATTAGAAATAACTCGAGCATGAAGCCTAGCCTAAGTGGCGAGGCCCTTGGTTTTAAAGTCTTGGTTTCAACCCCCAGTATTTACTCCTTTATGAAGTGTGTGTAACTTTTGTTGAAGACATAATTAAGTAAATAAAAGTGTACTCTTTGTAATAGCTTAAGCTTTTATATGAGATGGTCACACACTTCAACATAGTGTCAGAGCAGGCAGAGGTCCTGGGTTCGAGTCTCACCGCCACCCAATATCAAAAAGAATTTCTGCGTACTTGGCTCATCAAAAAGAATCAAGCCCGCACGTGAGGGAGCGTGTTGAAGACATAATTAAGTAAATAAAGGTTTACTCTCTCTAATGGCTTAAGCTTTAGATGAGATGGTCACACAATTCAATAACCTTTTTGTGTATGTTGCAGCTGGGATTTAATAGTGGTAAACTGGCATTTATTTACTACTGTGTAACAGTTCAGTTGTGTATATCTCAATTATAGAAGCTCAGTCATTCACTAAAATACAGGACATATTGAGCTTGAGTAGCAAATCAGTCAACTGATCCATGAATTAAACAAATATCATTGGAGTCCAGCTTTTATGGCTGTAGTCTAAGCACCTGTTGCTCTGAAACTTTCTAAACTAATCAAAACATGGTTGAGGGAAAAGTGCTCTCATGTAAGTTCAATTGCTTTAAGTACGTCATAACCAAAACAAACTTTTATCTGAACAGCAATGTTCATCTTTAGAAATAATAGCTTAAAGGAAATACTTGTGTAGGGAGAAGATAATATCAATATGCCTATGCATAAGGATGTTCTGTTACTTAATGTTATCTCGATTGTGGCCAATGACATGCTTGTTTTGTAGCTAATAATGCAACATTAGCTGAGCTCTTCTAATCACAATAGCATAATTGGACGATGACCTGACTGATATTTGATCCCATTCACCGGATAAAATGCAAGGGGTGAAGAAAGAAATGATACTTTCTCGGTTAAAATGTGAACATTGATTAGTCAACTCACATGTTTTAGAGCAAGAGAGGTTGCAACTTTGTCCATACATGTTTTTGAAGCAATGACGCCAGGACCTTCCATTATAAGAATGTCAAAAGAGCAGCTATAGATTAGTGATTACAAGTTGGCTTGCACTCCTTTCTTTCAAATGTAACATCCAATACAGACCTGTATAGGGAACCCCTTCGGCCTCTAGTAAAGATTGAAGTGTACCATCTTCTCCAATGCCTCCATGCACTGTCAATTGGAGCACGATGGCATCATTACTTCCAGATATTAAAAGATAACATCTAATGAAAGTTGATAGTGTTATAACCTATTATTTTCTCACGGGGATGAATATATAGCTGAACTATATGCCACTTTATTTTATCTACTTATTTCGTAGCAGATTACTGAAGCAAACATAAATATGTAAAAGAAGTAGCACATACTAAGGCGGTTTAACAGTTGCCAAAAAGGTATAATCATGTACTCATCTACTGACCTGCAATGAAAACAGTTGCCTGAGATTCCTTAGCCAGCTTCACCCACTGCTCCAGGGAAAATTTCTTCGGTAATTCATCAGATATATCAAACCCATTGAACCAACTGAGCTTTCTAAGACCTCTAGTGAGATCATCCATAACTTGGTTTCGCAAGTGAGATGTCAGAGCTGCCCGATTGGGTTCAATTGCCTCTAGACACGCATCAAGGACTTCTTCTGTAGTATGTCTCAGCAAAAGGGAATAACTGTACACCAAGAAAAAGGGTTTGACTTGCACTAAGATAATATTCAAGACTAGGAGGATGAAAACCTTACGTCCTCCTAAGGTTGCCATAGCACAAACTAAGTTGGATTCTAGTTCAAAGAAGTTTAGCTAACAGTTGCGACAAGAAAAGTAAAAAGGATGAGTAAAGTAGGCCATAAGATATGCAATCCACTTGTAGTCTACTGCAATAGCAAATACACTTACGGCAATGTCCATACTGTCTTAAACTTCTTATCTACTTCATGTTTACCGAAGTCTGAAACATCAGAATAGCTCGTTGCAGGGGAAAGCAAGCACGGCGTCACTTCAAGCTGCAAACAGCAAAATTGCCACATCATGGTATTGCCAGGATAAATTTGTGAACATCTAAGAAAAGATCACAATTAAACTGCTAAAGAAGTGAGAGAAAGCAACATTTGACGAACAAGAATACAAGGAAGTTGTACTCTTGTCCTAACTATTACCAAAGGCAAGAGATCTTTTCCATCATTTGTTTCTAACTAAACACATCTGATCTTTGTTATAGTACCATATATAAAATGATGACAACCAATTTACAACAACAACAAACCCAGTGTAATTCCACAAGTGGGGTAAAGTTTAGTGTTGAGAGTGGGATTTGAAGTTTTGAACCCAAGCCCTTTTGGACCAGAACCTTAATCTGGCACCTGNGGGGGTACAGATTAAACTCCAGGCATAGACAGGACAGGCACCATGGACAGATGAAACATTAACAGAATTTTATAATAAAACCGATTGTTATGTCACTATCTGCTGACACAGTGACACCTACACCTGAACTAATAACTAAGAACCCTCTTTCCCATGCCTGCATAAAACACCAGCTGTAGACAAAAAAGAAGTGACTTGGGCAAAAAGAAATGAAAGTGCCTTAGACACATCTTTTTTGTCAATAACCTTAGACCAATCAATTGAATATGATTAATAAATATTCAGTTGAACACTACTTGAAAACCGCAGGGATCATCAGAACTCCAACCAACCAATGTAAAGACAGTTTCAAATGCTGGTAAGATAGAAGACAATTGGACATGATTTTGAATGTAAATTTCTAGCACTTAGTTTCCCCCAACCCTACAAATTAAATCAAGATGGCAGTGTTGGGAATTTCAGCAACACTGGAGCAAGAGGACTGACCCAAGCATAGTAAAGAAAGCCATGAATTAAGGGTAATGGAAATGATCAACTCATAATTCATTAACTGAAATAAGACAATTTTAAAGCTTCCGGTAGTGTCATTTGCCTCTATAAAGTTAGCCATTCAGCTATCAATAATACTAAACAAACTGAAGAATCAGTCCCTGAGGCAACAAGCGAGGGTTGCTCGAGACAAAAGTGGGAATAAAAAAAATTACCATATGAAAATACATGTAACTATGCCTAAATCCCAAACTAGTCGGGGTCAGCTATATGAATCCTCTACCTCCATTCCACACTATTCGGACCCATTCCATTCCAATAATCAATAATTGTCTTTTACGTATTACCAAAAAAAAAAGGATTCAGTCCCCGAGTTGCAGTATTATGTTCAGAATAGAAGATTCATTAGTCTGGTAGACACGAAAACTTACATCATCAGATGCTCTTAGATTCAGCCAAACATTGGTTCCGCTCATAAGAGATACTTGGCGTTCAGAGGTGTCACCACCAAAGATGACGTAAACTTTTTTATGTTGTTTAATAAATGCTTCAGTTACTGATGCAGATTTTGATCTCCTTCTCGAGGGACTTGATATGATATTATGTGACAAAAGAGCTGGAAACCGCAAGCAAGCATGTTGGATGATGGTCCGGAGAATATTTGAGTGTGAAAATCCAACCTGACATGGAAAGATATGCACAAACTCATTACATTCAACAAGACTGGAGCTAGCTAATTTATAGGAAACACGTATAATACCACCACTAGAAGTTGTGATACCGGTATATATCAAGTTACTCAAATGGACTGTATATCTACCAGTTCTCTCACAAGGAATTTTATTATCCCCTGCTTTTCTTTTTAAGGGTTCTTATGTTTGCATGTTTGATTGGGGGGTAAGGATAGGATACTGTTCACAAATCAGAACTTCCATATATAAGATAGTACAGATTTGTTCCAGATGAAACCTCATAACAGCATACCACTTTCTTTTTTATTCAAGATATTGAGCACACAAAATTTACGCCAGATGGACATTCTTCTAGAGGAAAAGGCAGTTCATGCCAAATGGACTTTCCGATGGTCTGTACGGACACCTATAGCATGGAAAGTTTAATGATACCACATGTTTTACAGATAAAATGACACCACAAGATTTGAAGATCGACGGGCCTATACTGAAGCAGGCTGGAAATTTCACGTAATGTTCATCAGCAATAAACCAAGGACCAGTATTGGGAGTACCTTTGACGCTTGCTGAAATAAGAAACTCGTTTGTTCCATTCCACTGATCTGGGGAGAAGAAGGTACATAACAGGTCAAGCATAAATACTGATGAGAAAATACAGGGACAGTCAGTAAGCTATCTCACCAAGTTGATATCGGTGAATATAACTGTGCCAGAATTAGTCCTTCCAAATTTGTTTCCTGCAAAAGAGGAAGCTTTCATAGAAGGCGGCAAAAACCAGCCATCAATTCGAGCAAAATCACGCAAACCAAGCCGCTGAAATAGTAATGACGCCCCTTCACGTATCTTTGAAATCACATCCACAGAGAATCTAGGTGGAGTGTGATAAGCAACCTGCAATAATTGCCGTGCTGTTTAGATTAATATAAGCAAGAAGAAATCTATGAGTACATTTTGAGCTTTGAGATAAGACATGAGAGATTTAAATCAGAAAAGCATGCCAGCAAATTAAACAAAAGCAAAGGACCTCTGTATCACCAATCGTTCGATATTTGTCATAACCTAGTAAAGTTGTGTTTATATAGGGTAGAGACAACCTTAACTATGGAATGTAAAATGAATGAACAAGAGATATGAAACGCATTTACTTATGTCTTCAATGCCATGCTATTATCGATCACATTGAGGATGTCATCATTATGCTTAAAAATGAAAGGAAAAAGGAAAGAAACAAAGAACAGTAAAACATGTCCCTAGAGTTTTAGGTGCACATTCCATCAACCAGAAAATTTACACTACCTGCCGAGTAGGGAGATACTTCCGTCGATAGTTAAATATAGCGTCTTTCTCCCTAACATCAACAGTGCCATGTGATTGCAGCTCCACCTGAACATGGTGGCCATTAAACACATAGAGCATAAAAAAAATTGAGAAATTCATTGCTATAGCTATTGACTACATTTCATCAGAAATCTTGTGAGAAAAAAGGCAGAAAGAAAACACTTTCTCTCAACTCTTTCATTAATGATAATCAAACATAAGGATCTACTCATTGACCTACACAATCCTTAATAAGCAGTGGTCCGTAATTGGTGTTACATGAAGCAAAACATCAACCATGATGATAGTAAATAGCCTTGTCGTTCCTTGCCGATTTAATAGCAGAACACAGTTTCAACAAATTTATTTCCAATAACAACATTTTGTATGAATAATCTTTTCAGCACTGGATCCTTTGTACATGAGAAAACGTTAACAAGTAATTAGGGAACTGACAAAAAAGGTTTCGCCCTCTATGTTACAAAAGATAACTTAATGAAGTTCAAGTCCTCGACGTACTAGCATAGCCCCACAAAAGCAAGCAGCGGCAGACTGTCAGTAACTTCTGCTCTAACATTACTTAAATGTGAGAATACTAATTGCTCCGCACTAAATACATGATGAGCCACTTTAGATAAGTATTTCCTAATCTGGCACACTTGCAGAGCTGAAAGGGATCGGTATCAAAATCTATAAGCTCAATAATGGACCAAAGAGTATCACTTAGTTTTTTCTTTTTCGTTTTTCTTTTGAGAAACCAAAGAATATCACTTTGCTAAATGACAATTATCACCGCTATAAAAGAAAGTTGACGGAAATTTGGCTTTCCATCATACCAATGTAAGATTTTGTGTCAATTTCTGCCTGTAATCAGGGACGACGTGAAAGGGCATGATAACCATACAGATTCAGAAAGCAGTTAAAGATATCTTCCTATGGAATGCGTATATAAAAAGGGCAGCCCGGTGCACTAAGCTCCCGCTATGCGCGGGATCCGGGGAAGGGCCGGACCACAAGGGTCTATAGTACTTTACATTGGTGCCCTTCATTTCTTACATTTCAAATATCAATCTTCAACAGACAATAGCAATTTAAACTGGCAGAAATGTTAGATGTTCCTAATTCTTGGATTTATTTATCTGATATCTCTGCAATTTAACACCTCAGCACAATGAAACTCTACAGTTACTGTACTCATGCAAGTTCAAACCCAGGCACTAGTTGCTTTCACCGTCATTTTTGAGAATTTATAAACCTCTAATAAACTTAATACAAAAAGAGAGTAAAGTATCTATATACCTCTGTTGGCAATAATACAACAGGCTGGCAACCAAAACCAGAACCTACATCAAGGACAATTGCTGTAAATTCACTACCTCCTTCAAGGAAAATTTCAACAAGGACTTTGTCATCAATCCCCTGCCAAAGTAATGAAAAATAGTTCATTGATTGAATATATGCCTGAATACAAACTGCGACCTAGCATTTAAAGGACTTCCATTTCCAGTTTCATCAAATACAGCATCAAAACCAATGCTTTTCAAGAGGTATAATATAACAAACTTAAAAAACTAAAAAGAAGAATGGCACGGAGAAGAAAGAGATTACCTCAGAAATAATTGTGTTAGCTTTTTGCAGAGAATCAGTGACACCATAGGCAACACTAACTCCAATGCTTGATCCTGCTCTTGTTGGCTTTACCTGCAATTTTGTATGGCTCCTAAACGTAAATAATGGATGAGGATTGCTGCAAAACTACCAAAATGCTCCATTTAGTGCTCACCACAACTTTTCCTAACTTAGTGTCTAGTAGGTTTTGGTCAAACCACTTTGACAGTCCAGATTCATCCATTTCACTTCCCTAAGAGCAGGACCAGACCACACAGTTAGTTTTGTGTACAATTCTGTTTCTTGGGTGTAAGAATGATATTTTAAGAAAGCAGCTTCTTGTAGGTTGCATTGGCTTGCATATCAACAAGGGAAAATACAGGAAAATAAATACTATAACACAAAAAGTAGATGTAAAAACAGGAACAGTCGAGTAGGAAGTGAACCAACCAAGAACAAAATGAATAGAGAAGCAAAAGGTACTTCTTCTCTTTATTGGATAATCTAGAGAAGAAAGAGGAAGATTTACCCAGTTTCAACATAAAATAAGGATAGATTATGTAACACCTCAGGTTTTAGACAGAGTCCCACATTGGCAAAAACAAAAGAGGGATGCTGAGTATATAAGTTAACAAGCTTTAGACCCTAGTGACGCGTTTTAAACCCGTGAGGGCCTAGGCTCAGAGGCAACAATATCACTAGCGGGTTGGGCTGTTACAGATGGTATCAGAGCCACTCTTGTGTCAGCCATGCCGATGGTGGATCAGAGTTCAACTGAGTTTAGGCAAATCCCGGTTAGGCGGGGCAAACCTCAGTGCTGAGTCTAGGCAAATCCCATGCGGTGGGGCAAACCTCAGCGAGGACGCTGAGTCCATAAGAGGGGGTGTAGGCTTTAGACAGAGTCCCACATCGGCAAAAACACAAGAGGGATGTTGGATATATAAATTAACAAGCCTTAGACCCTAGTGACGCGTTTTAAACCCGTGAGGGCCTAGGCCCAGAGCGGACAATAGCGGGCTGGGCTGTTACAGATTATGTAATCATTATCAGGGGGAATCGGAAACAAGCTGAGTTGTGAATATTCCTCAGCTAGATAAGATAAGCAAGTTCAAGCCTTTTTGTAAGAAATATGATGTCAAACTTAGCAGATACAGTTTGAATAGGGAAATAGGACCCAAAAAAAAAATAAAGTTGGAAGACCATTTTTAACAGTAGTAATATATGCCTGCATATGGAAACTTCAAACAGAAGAAAGCACATGATACAGAAGGTCAAAAGCAGA